TCTGCTGTATTAGAGGAGTTATATCTTGCTGCTACATACATGTAATAAAATAGAAAAACATCTTTATCTAGACTATCATTTGTTGTATGTATTTGATGAGAATCAACCTCAGAGAGCTTGCCGTTTTGTCTGCAGGCTGTCGAGAGCATCAAGGCGGTGGTAGCACTGTGCGATTCAGCTGATGAGGAGCTTCGCCACGTCGCCATAGAAACACTACTCACGCTTGGTAAGTTAAAAAAATGATGGAAGACAAATGTTTTAGTTTTGTTTGTTGGTATGGTTCTATGAATTACAACATTACAACACTGATTCCACAACTGACAGCCATCATGAAATATTTAAAAACATTTCAAAGATGCATAGAAATATAGCATGTACATGTTTTACCAAGTTCTTGTGCATAAACTGTTTTGACTTCTGCTGGGAACAGATGATGGTTGTGACCGAAAGAGTAAATATTTGGTCCTAATTCAACAACACAAGAATAGAACTGAGGTCTGAGAGTGTTTTGTACACTGTTGATGGACAACATTGTTTGTTGAAGGTGAGGAGGGTCGGCTGGCGTACGAGCGGCTGGACACCGTACCGGGGGAAATGATCCGTCTGGGCACACGGCGAGGAAACGCCGTCACCACTGCCTTCTGAGCCACGGCTCCACCGAGAAGACGAGAGATCAAACTCCAGCCTGAGCTCTGAGGATGACACTGCCCCCTCAGCTCCACGCCACACTGCACACCTCACAGGCTGTTCTTTTACCGATCAGTTTATTGATCTCCACCTGCCGCATTAGATCACTGTTGTTACTGATACTGCCTCTTACAAGAAACTAACACCAAACAAACTGTCTTAACCACAAAGGCATACAACCTATACCCCTCCTGCACACACACACACAAATGTTATTCCGCCACACCTTTACTCCCGCACAACCCCCCCCTCACCCCCTTCCTCCCCCTGCGTTCTGAGCCAGGAACACTGGTCACGTTGAGTTTTCACTTGAGCACAGATTTGACGGGACACGAAGCCACTGAACGCTGCAGAAAACTGTGGAAACTGGAAGCAATGCGTCTTCACACAAACCTGTCGACAAACAACACGCCACCGCACACAACACACGTATCACTCACCCACTGATTAACTCATATTGGCTGTTGCAGCGTCAGTCGTGTCAAGCAATATTCCAACTATGACCTTTGTATAATCACTGTTTATCACACGTTTAAATTGGTGGTTTATGCATCAGAGATGTTTTCGGCGCTTTCGGACGATTTGCACTGTTGTAACGCATGTAAATATGGCATATTTTACACAGCCGGTGTAATATATATATGGTTGTATTCAAAGTGTATTTTTAGGTTTTTGTTTTCTAGTACGTTCCATTTTGAGTTTCAGGGATTCTCGTGTGTTTTGTGGCGGCGAGGACCGTACATGTGTTGAAAGTGGCTTTGGAGAGAAAGTGAGGTGAAACTGTGAAAGAACGTCGAGCAGATTTAAGACCTCAAGTCTTAAACTCAAGTTTATCAGTGGAGACAAAAAAGGAAGAAGCTCAGATCTAAACTGCTGAGAGAGTGAACCTCGAGTTTTTCTCATACCTGCAGTCGAACAAGTGCAATTTTTCTGTACATAGCTGACGTGAAAAGACGTTTGATAAAAGTCGGCCTTTTGACCATTTGAGCCTTGATGTGGTCGAGCAGGAATTCTCTCTCTTTTGTAAATGGTTTTTTTTCCTACCAGGTACGGAGCCACTCGAGGGCAATAAATTCAGTTTGCATGAGAACGCACATTCTCAGTAACTGTACGGAGAGGATGGATGGATGCGTGTTGTTTCGGTTCTTGGTAACTGCACCTTCATTCGGCGTGTGAGCAAATAGCCAGATGAGAAGTGAAGTGAAGCTTTTTCTACGAGAAGTTGCAGGATGGAATGTTTGGTGCGTCTCGGGTCGTCTCGTTCTCCTGTAACTGACCCGAGTTCAGCATTTAAACTTTTGTCAGTGTAACTGAACTACTGAGTCCAGTGAGACGATAAAACTCACATCTGTTCTCACCTCTTATTTATTATTTACCCCTCGAATTTCTAATATGCTTTGGAAGTTTTACTGTAACAGTGCAGGTGACTTTGTTATGTATATATTTATGTTGGACTTTTGGATCAGGTCGAGGACAGTTGGTTTAAAAAGGCCTCCGTGTTATTACCATGCAACTGATCTCATGCTTAACTTAAATTGGAGTTTATTTTGAGAGAATTATATTATATGGATTATTATTTTGGAGAAGATTAAGATTTGCTCATAGTCTAATAGCGTTATAGATTTGTTTTTCCCTAAAAGGTCCCGGACAAAATGGGACATTATATATAGGAAATGTTACTTTATGACTTAGATTTACTGTAACCAAAGGAAGAATTAATTTTTAAATTGTCCTTTAATTAATGCTCATAATTCATCTTGAAGAATGTATTTTCAATACCACATTGGCATTTTGGCCACAATGCTCAGACTCGTCTTTAGAAGCACAACTTTTAAAAAAAACAACAAACCCATAACATATGACTTTAACTACATTTGGTTCTAACTGCACAGTCCAGAAGCCATACTGATTAAAAACAAGTGGTAATATTTCTATGAAATGTATTTTTTTCTTTTGTATTATAATATGTAAATGTGTGAAGTTGTTGCTAAAAGCTGAAACTTTTTTTTCTATACAACCTTTTACAAAACATGTTTTAAGTCCAGTTACAGTATTTTGGTCGAGTATCTAATTCAGCTACTCATTCAGTGTCTACTTTTTTTTTCTCTTTTTACAAACTTTCAGTTGACCAGTGTTATAAAGTTTTGCTGTTCAATTCCTAATCACCACAAATACAAGTTGGCAAAAATGTGCATGTTTAATTATCAGGATAACTTGGTTGCTAAAATTGAACTTGATCCATCTCTGTAGCTTCTGTACTCATCCATTTAGTTGCATCCTCTTCTTCATTGTGGTCAGCAGCATTTACTCTGCTCATCTAAAGTTGCAATAAATTTTATTTTTGCATAATTGAAATAACAAAATTGTGGATTCCTTCAATCTTAAGGAGACCTGTTATTTTTTCACTTTAGTTTCTGTCATATCCTTGTATTAAACATGCTATTTTCAATGAATGTTAAATGGTTGCCTAAGAGTTTATAGAGCATTTTGTCAGCTCCTCATCCTCACACGTCCTTTTAATTAGGAGTTAAGTTTGACATTTATCAGCCAAGAATTACATTTTACTCTTTAGTTGGATAGTTTTGTAAAATTTATTTTGCCTTAAAATATATTTTTTTAATGTTTATAGGTACTGCGCCAGGTTTAAAGAACACTTTGTCAGGTTTGTTTACTGAAAGCAGAACTTGAGCTGCTGGTGATACAATCACCTCTGCACCATGTCATCACACATCTTAACTTGGAAGACAACATTTCGCCAAGAAACAAAAGCCAAGATTCTTTTTTAAAAACGTGTTTTATCTTAAACAAGCTTTATGTACACAGCTGTTCTATAACATTGCACAATTTTTACAGCGTAAACCAAAACACTTCACAGGCCATGCATAAAGTAAGCTACCAGTGAGTGTAGCATGACTGCTTCTCCAATAAGCCTTTTCACAGCAGACATCAGTAAGAAAAACACAGTAGTTACAGTTGAACTGTGATTATTTCCATTTACAGGTTGCTGACCTTCAACAGAGCAAATCTTTCACAGACACCAGGAGACAAAGGAACGCAAGAAAATTTGGTGCTACAGTTTAGTGAGGATCCCCTTTGTTGAGATTGAAACGGTCATTTTTGAGGTATTGATTTTTACGTTAACCTAAATTAACTGAAACAAAGTCTGTAGCCTGTGCTTAACTACTGACATGTCATCATGTCTTCCATTGAAAAAAGTTCTATACTGACTTAATTATGAACACTTCTTGGCCAAGAATTTTGCAAGTTGAACAAAACCTAAAGTCGTAAAACATTTGTTAAAATATGATGCATTTCAAGAACAATGCGGTCTGAACATAAATTACAGTGAAAAGCCAACATCTCCAAATAGACGTCACTCTGGCCAAAATCGGCTGATATATTAAGACAAAGTCCACAAGATGCGAGAGGTGTCAGTTAATCCTGCTCCACTGACTCCTCTTCATCTTGTTCTTCTTCTTCTCCCTCTTCCTCGTCGCTGTAATCAGAATATTCATCCTCACTCTGGTTGGCAACTTCACTGCCATCTTCATCATTCTCATCCACATCAAGAGCGATGTCCTTCAGTTCCTCCAGATTATCTGGGCACTTTCCAGTCAACCTCTAAAAATACCAGAGATGCATTCAATTTACACTCAGTGCAAAGACGTCCATATCATCTTGAGTAAATAATCAAAGAACTAAATAATTTGTACGTGCCAAGATTTTAAATTCAGAGCACACCATCGAAATGCCTGTGATTAAAAATGTTATGTTTACTGAAGTCCCAGGTTTTAGTGTAGGTAACAAACAAGCAGTGCCGCTGTGCCTACCTCAATCATATCGGCCATGTATTGGACGTGTTGTGCCAGCTCTTGCAGCTCTTCATTCTCACTCTTCAGTTTTGTTATCTGTTCATCTCTGGTCTCGATGTCTTTGTGCAACTGGTTTAAGGAAAGAAAAGAAATTTATTAGACACGATAGGCAATCTTAAAATCTATGGCACCATAATCTCTAACTAAAACATTGAGCTGTTGGTAAAAGGGTACTGGTCTCATCTGTATGAACCAGTCTCTAGGAATCAGGTTTATTTGAACAGGATTGGCAACTTCAGTACAAGGTCTTCTAAAGTAGAACAGATTTGAAATGTTTAGGTGCAGAGTTACTTCAATATTCAGTGCCAGCTGGACAAGAGCCAACCAAGGTTGACCCACCAGGAGCGTGGGAACAGCTCGACTGACAGCTAAACATTAGCTGCCTCTTAGTGATTAACTCACCTTCTCATTCTCCTGTAGAACATTGTACAAGGCCTTCCGTCGCTCATCGGCTACCTCTTTCCAGTAGGTGGAGGGAGGAGTTTCTACAACAGAGGAGATTTAAGGTCACGATAAACCAAAATTTGAAATGACCACCATTTTGTGATACCAATTATGAAACCTACCTTTGACCATAAGTTCATATGCTTCAGTGGTTATGTCATCAGTCAAACACTGAGTTTCCTCTGTTTGTGTGGATTTGACTTCTACCTTCACCCTCTTTGGACCTCGAGTTGGTTCTGCACTCCACTGTTTCCTTTTGGGAATGATCTTTCCTGCCTATAGAGACAACAAAAGTAATTTTATAAAATGTTTAAGACAAGGTGGCTAAAGATCCTTTGTTCAACCAAATGAACAAGGTATAAAAACTCTAATAATGTAAACATGGAAAATACACATTCAAATCAAACTGGTTTCAATGACAAGCCACTAAATACCTGAGCTGACCACCCAAGATCTTTGTTGACAGCTGAGGGCTGAAGGACCTGCAGGGTTTGTCTGGGGGCTCCCATTGCCTTATGAGATGATGTGAAAAAACTCTGGAAGAAAATCAATGACTCTGATTAGTGTTACCTTAACTGACCTCATCACAAACCAGATGTGAAAATAGTAACACATCCACAGGGCTTCCCGAATGAGAAATTTAAAACTCAAGACTGAGTCTCATGGGAAATAACACCTTGGGTTCTCATTTTCAAAGCCTCCGTTAATTAGGGTTTTGCATCACTTTGATTTTTTTTTTTTTTTTACTCAGTTTCACTGTCACCATGGGAGAGGGCATGAGTGAAGCTGCTCAACAACACTGCTGCCATGTGAAACAGACCCACAGGTGTGGGAACAGGGGCAGGGCCTGAAGTCTTTCAACAACCCCCGTGGGAAAGTCTCTCCTTGAGGAGCATTACAGGGTAGCCAATCATCAGTTTGTTAATGTTTGAACGCTCCTTCACAGCTATAGTGTTTCAGGCCTGTAAAGGGTGATCAGTTGATGATTGTCAGCTGAGGAGACAACGACCGAAACTATTCAACCTTCAGTTAAATAGAAATTAAAATACTTTAAGTTTGTTTAAATTGAAGCCAAGATTCCTCATCATGGAGAGCCTATGCATCATTTTATTTAGATTTGTCACTCTGCTCATTAAGATTTTAAATACAACCTTCATTCGGGAGCAAAACTTAGAAAGTAACATTTATCGATATCGACCATATGTTTACCTCACTATACAATAGCCCTCTAATCAAGTATCTTGTGACTCAGTACAACACTGAGAACAGGCTCAGATTACCCGTCATGCAACACTGAGCAGGTCAATGTGGTACAAAAGGTTGTTTTCACACCAGGTCCTTTGACTCAGCAGGATACGCTCAGGTGACACCAACAAGCACGACTCCATTTCAAGGTTAATATAACTCAAGACAAAGATCCAGTATGAAACCCCAGGCGGCTTAATGAGCTCAGCAGTCATTAGTATACTTGCTGGTGTCCCCTACAGATACTGAGAGCTACTGGTTATTAATCAGATGTAACTTGCTTCTTGGAGATGCATCCTTTATTTAAACAACACATCATGATATAACATCCTGTTGGTGCATGCCGTCCTAAACCTTAGCATTAGCACACTTTGAAGGGAGCATGACGAACCCACGATTAGTCACTTACCGTAATGTTCTCGTTAGACTTCTGTTGGCTGGGTCTTAGTTTTCCACTCATATTTGCTCTCAAGAAAAAAACCTGAGAAAGCGAAATAGGCAAATTACGTTAAACTGTACGTGTATTCAATCCTTTGGCGTGTGAAGAAGTCGCCATGTTTGTAGGAAATAAGTGAACTGAGTCGGCAACCGTTAAAAATAGGATGATTCCAGGGAAGCTAGGCTAATCCCGGCACGGTGTTGGCTATCTTAACTGGCAGCACGTGGTAAAACACGTATAACACGGTTTTCATCAAGTATAAACACGTTAAATCGACTCACCGCTGATCAGGATCGAGCCACTTCTGGTGTGAGCTGATTCTCTTGTTGTGTGGCTCCCGCGCCAGCAGCTTAAATAACGCCCACTCGCGTCACGTGACGAGCACGCTGAAGAGTTTTTTTTTTTCACGTTGTTGTTTTTTTTTTTCCACCCTCGTGCGGTCACATGTCAACACACGTCACATCTTTGTAGTCGCCTGGTGTGTGCGCAGCCATTTTGGGGAGGCTGCGGAGCGACGAGCTGGTAGCCCACTGTCAGCTGCTGCCCGAACACACACACACACACACAAAGAGAAGAAGCCATCGGGAAAACACAACGTTGGAAGCAGAAGCAGTGAAATATGGGCCCGCCGGGAGACAGGACGCGTCACTCGTCGACTGAGAGAACGGAGGACTTCAGCCTGGCGGTCGATTTATCTTGACATGGCATGCGGCAGGGCGAGTCGGGGGTTGTGACGACGGAAGAAAAGGGAGAGGAAGACAACAAGCGCAGCGAACGCCACGAAGCTCCAGACACGGAAAGGGCAGATTCGATCAAGCTAGCGTCTCTTTAGCCTCTCGGCGGTGTGAGTGTGGTGTGCTTCTCGGTTCCCTGGTTGGGTTTTTTTTTGGTCGGTGAAGTTGTTGACGACGCACGGCTGAGGCAATTTTGCTCCTAGCTAAAAAAAAAAAAAAAAATGCTGAGCACAAGCGAAATCAGCTAGTCGGTCGAGCCCTCTCAGGTCTCCGGACTCTCACAGCACTGGCAGCCACGTTGAAGCCAGCGAGAAGATGTAAACGCGTGGAAAGATGACCGCACGCTAGCTTAGCCCCACCGCCACACTCACAGGCCTCGATCCAGCCCGTCAGTCGGAAGATAAGATGTAGCTATAGCGTCGGTTCACTACTAGTTAGTGTCGGAAGTGAACGCCGAGGTCGGCCTGCTAGCTCGCCTTAGCTAGTGTGCTAAAAATACGCCCACGCCATGACTACGAGCACCGACGGGCCGTGGGCCGAATGAGTGGCAGTGAAAGTCAAGGAAATGTCAAGTTACCTTCGCAGTAGTCTTCGATGTTACCCGGTGCCAGCATCTCCTGGCATCTGCATTTACCTGCCATGTTCGTCCGTGTCCCCGATCCGCCTGTAACACGCACATAGCGACGTCTCCGCAGAGAAACAAACACAACGACAGCCATGGATGAGAGACTTTGAAATGACCCAAACAATAGAATATTTGTCTGCTCGCTAGTCTCTGTAGTCGTCCAAGTCACTAGCAGGAGTCTATACTGCCGCTATGGGTTTTTATAGTAGCAGCCGTTTCTGTTGATTTCATTTTTTTTTTCTCCAGACGAAGAGTTAGTCAAATTTGAGTTGCTCTTTCATTTAAATCCCTTGTCGATGGCAGGTTGAAGACAAAGCTCTCGTGGCTTAAAGTCATGTCTTGAAAAATGGATTTCTGATCAAGTAATTAGGAGATGTAGTATTTAGCTTGTGGATCATTCCCCTCCTCAACACTGCCCTAACACACACAAAAATTAAAGATGACTTAGTCTCGTTTCTGATTTGTTGACCTTTTTTCAGTTAGTAGTTAGTGGGTATTTCACTGATCAAACCTAAGAGTTGTTTGATGGGTTGTTTCTGCAAAGGGTAGCGAACTCCATCCTTTATCCAACGTATAGATACAAAAGTAGAGAGTGTAGCCACAATATTCTGCGCAAGACAAGAGCATCGCCATCAAAATCTAACCATGGGGGACCCGACTTCACGAAGAAATCAAACAAGAAATCGACTTCGAGCTCAACTTCGGAAGAAAAGGGAATCTTTGGCTGATCAGTTTGACTTCAAGATTTATATAGCCTTCGTTTTCAAGGAAAAGGTTTGTTGGCAAAGTGGAAGCCTCCAGTAATTCTTGGAACATTTCCTCACATACACCTTGTGTATAAATGTCTCTTTCCATCTCGGTCTATGTCATTATGCAAAGCCAAAAAATTATATTCAATGTTTGTGTTTTTTCTCTTGTTTTCTGTCCTAACAGAAGAAGAAGTCTGCCCTCTTTGAGGTAGCTGAAGTTGTGCCAGTGATGACCAACAACTACGAAGAAAACATACTACGAGGTGTGCGGGATTCCAGCTACTCTCTCGAGAGTTCAATAGAACTCCTGCAAAAAGATGTTGTGCAACTACACGCACCCAGATACCAGTCAATGCGAAGGGTAAGACTGGACCAGCTCAGGATGGGATACTTGGAAGAGAATATCAGTGCTGTTATAATATTGTTATTTCTTTACCAGGATGTGATAGGATGTACACAGGAGATGGACTTCATCCTTTGGCCTCGCAACGACATTGAGAAGATTGTCTGTCTGCTGTTTTCCAGATGGAAAGGGGCCGATGACGAACCCTTTAGGCCTGTTCAGGTCAGAACTTGACCTTTTTATCTGATTACTCAGATGCCTGTCGTGATTTGATTCTTATGTAACAGTTGTTCTCACTGAAGTTGTATTATTGAATTAAGGCTGTGCAGTGTAGGCAAAACATATTTTTTTATCTTCTTATACTGATGGACTTTTATCACTTCTCTGCAAACTGCACTGGAAACAAAAAACAACTGACTTTTACATTTTTCTATTTTAATCCTTCATGCACAAAACAGTTAAATTAAAATAACAAAAGAACAGCACATCTGACAAGGTGGTCATCTTAATACATCAGCTATTGAGTGGCAGTGCCATTAATAAACTAATTATTGGACTGGAAACCTTGTTCTGTCTGCTTTAAATAACTTAGTTTTGACATTCAGGCCCTATACACATTGTGCAAAAACAAAAAATGGATGAATTATTTTAGTTTGATGTCTATGGTCAACTATCCTTCATCTGGATGTAACAATATTTTCTTCTTGTTGCACGTTTTTGTCCTCCGTCTTACAGGCCAAGTTTGAATTTCATCATGGAGACTATGAGAAGCAGTGCTTGCACGCTCTGGGTCGGAAAGACAAGGCTGGAATGGTCATGAACAACCCAACTCAGTCTGTATTTCTCTTCATGGATAGACAGCACTTACAGGTGAGTGAGTCAATTGAAATTGAGATGTAACCGGTTTGAAAGGCTGAAACCATGGACAGCTTTCAAACTCACTTGACCACAAACATTCTCTGTCGACCTCTGTTGCAGACTCCTAAAACCAAGGCCACAGTTTTCAAGTTGTGCAGCCTCTGCTTGTACTTGCCCCAGGACCAGCTGACCTGCTGGGGTGTGGGAGACATCGAGGATCACCTCCGCCCATACATGCCTGATTAAGGCTTCCAGCTCCACCCAGCCACATAGGGAAAAGCCCCTCCCTTTCCTTTTGCCTAAGCCTTCAGAAGCAAATTGATGTACTCATCTCCACCCGTTTCCTTTTAAAAGATTTGAACTTGTGCTTGGATCTCTCCTTTTTTTCCCTTTTTTGTTACCTACTCGTTCTCCCCTCCCTGACCTGAGGCTGATTCTGTTCCCATCCTTGGTTTTCTCCCTCATGTCCCAATGTTTCCCCTCTTCTCTCTGCCATCATTTTTGTTGGTTGCCCCATTTTTTTTGTTTTGTTTTTTTCTCCCTCTTTATTCCCCTCCTACTCACTCATCCATTCTTGTTTATTTGAACCTGCACGAACATTGATTTTGAGTGGTTGGTTGTTCGCTTGGAGCCGCACTGTCAACAGCACCGGTCATTGAAGGAACTCTTTATGTTGCATCAGAACAGGAACAAACAATACCCAGGTCTTCACGGTGGTTCTCAGATGGACGTGTTTTATATCCTTGTTGTCATAAGAAAGGATTGTTAAAGCTTGTTTGTAATGTCATTGGGGTTTCTAGAACAACTTTACACAATCTTTTGACCAAGGACAGGTGTGATTAGGTGTTAAATCACCTGTATACACAAAAATAACGAGATGAACAATATTTGTCAAATCATATGGTGTAGGAATTGCTTCTTATAAACTGCCTTAGTTCTTTTTTTCCGCTGGACTTTAAAAGATGTTTTGGTGTCATTTGCTTTTCTCTGAAACACGCTAGGCAGGCCTTTGCTAAAATCTCAAGTTACTTGAAAGGCATTGTACACAAAGGTGAAACATGAAGGTCATTGTCACCATTCAAGCTGGCCGTTCGTGCACTATTCAAGCTACTGAAATCTGATACTTTACATTTTGTTTTATTCGGGATGTGGGTTGGTGAGAAACTGAGATGTGTAAGATTTAATGTTTAACATACCTAACAAAAGTTGCTGAAAGCTAATGGATCTTAGTTTAATTTGACCTAGTAAAATTAAGATATTTCCTGCCATGCTCATTTAAATCAAAATTGGGTTTTGCAGGCTTGCTTGTCAAAGAATAAGTACATAGCACATATAATTTTGCTCATTGTTGATTCTGTGTGTTCAGTTCAAAGATTATAAGGCGTGTAACTTCTGTTATTTTTTTCTGTTGATGAATCTCAAATCAATACTGCTGAGCATATCCCAATACAATGCAAATTCTGAAAGCATAACTCTTTGTCCATTTCTTTTATTGCATGTGCATGAGTCAGTAATACAGTAAGAACATCAGAATTGACTGACCACAGTCCTACATTTTCCTCTGTGACTGTTGATAACAAATACTCAACTGTTGTAACCAGCAGTGGGTGGTATTATGGCGTTCACTCACCACTTGTTTTTTACACAATATGTGACCTTTTCAAACTATTTACAGGCAAACGTTGGTTTAGTTTTTATCTCAGAGTCCCATGTTTTGACAGTACATATATGATAATGTATTTATTACAAATGGATCAGTGGGGCCAGTTTAGCTGCTGCCAAGGTGCTTAGTGTGTCTTCCTTGTGCAATAGGCTTCCCAGTGGCCTTGTTGATGAGGTCTACAGTGGCAAACGCCAGCGTCCGTCCTTGCTTAAGAACCTGAGCAGTAATGACGACCTCCTCTCCTATCTTGGCAGCATTCATATATCTGTAAGACAGTGCAGGCTGTGGTTAATTAATCTTCAACAGCATGGGTGGGTCAAGAAGCTGAAGGTAAAGGTCAACAATACATACATACAAGCCAGGAGGTAAATTCAACACTACATTTTATGACAAGCCAAGATCACACACACCTACAGGTTACTGGGGTCATACAAATCATGGAAGATAATTAACAAAGCACGAAGCTGTAGATTCAATTAATCTTGAGCTTTATTCCTGGGTATTTAGGGTTTTTCAGTAATGAGAGCTTGAGTTAAAAATACTGCAATTAATATTCTGCACATGGTTTTATGTAGGTTATAGTCTTTTTTAGAATCAATACATTCATTTGTCAAATAATTTTCTGGCTAACAAAATACATTAAAAAATTCAAAAATATAATATATTCAGTATAACAGCGTGAAGAAAGCTTTCAAATAGCATTTGTTTTTACAAAGTACATTTAATTTACAGGATAAATAACATTTAACTAAAAACTTGAGCATAAAAATTTTAATAAAAAGATTGAAAGGAATTTTTAGGTAAACCTAGAATTTCTAAGAACTAATGCATTTGTGGAAGTTTCTTAGTCTTAATGTATTAAGCATTTATGACAGACCTTCACGCTTCATAGTACATAAGTTATATACCATTAAGAACTATACCACCAAACCATGGAGCTCCTGACACAGTGTATGTTAACCCTCTGGTGATCCCGAGGTTTTAAGGGGATTAATCAGGACTATTATCGATGGACTCACGTTATGTTCATGTCCACACTGACCCCCGGGGATCCTCTCTCACTGTGCATGATCGCCATGGTGGAGATGACATCGACCAGGGTGGCTGTCAGCCCGCCGTGCAGCGTCCCTCCCCGGTTGGTGTGCTCCTCCTCTACCCGCATCTCGCACACCATCTTACCCGGGCTGGCGGACAAAATGTCCACCTGAGGAAAACACACGTGAAGCGAAGAGTGTGTGAGCGACAGAGACTGGAAGAACGGGAATCAGCGGGCGGCAGGTTGGGTTCAAATATGACCACAGCCTCGAGGAAAGTCCTTAAAACGGTGGAGAAATATCACAGTGTGTGTCGTTACCTTGCTCAACACTCGGTCGAAACCCGGAGTGTCCACCATTGCTCTCATTAATTGTTTTATCGAGTTTAAAGACCGTGAAACCATATTTTACTCCTGCTTAATACAACCAATGTCAAACTTCTGTTTACCTCCCACCGGAAACCACAGCGTGACATAATCCGTCCGGGTGAAACATGAGCTCCTTCTTGTTTGGACCTGTTGAAGCTAATGTGTTCGCTAGCATGAATATAAAGTTAAATGCGCAGCAACTGCAACTATATGTAGAAATATGTATTTTTAAATATCCACGTAGCGTAAAGTTGTATTTATTTGCTTGGTTTTTGTTTTAGTTTGCTTTAGCTAGCTATTTAGCAGCTTGACCCGGAAGATTTTCGCTGGTGCACCTGATAGAACTTGCAGAGCAAACAGGGAGCATGATATTTACATTGGATTTAGTTTTCCTGTGTGGTTAAATCTGGTGGCGACGCAACATGGCGTCCACATCTGACTCGGACAAAGCGTCAGTTTCTAGCGTGGAGGAAAGCAGGAGCCGTCTCTGCGAGGAATTTGTGGCCATAGCAGGATCGGACAGCGCCGCGGCTCAGAGCTACCTGGCTTCAAATGGCTGGGAGATGGAGGTGCGGTGGTTAGCTTAGCTGCATCATGACCAGAGGACCTTAGCCTTTAGCTTGTAAACACTGCTCATTTCATTTCCTCCATCAGAAAGCGTTGAACTCGTTCTTTGAGGCAGACATGGAGCGGATATTCGAGGCAGAAGATTTTCCAGAGACGGACGCCAGGCCTGAAACCAAGAGGAAGAAGGTTGAAGAAAAACCTGCAGAACCATGGTAAGCCCACTTATTCCTGACATATCACTTTGCAGTTAGTTTCACCATCTTTAGTGAAACATTGCACATAAGTACGTTCCTGATGTGTGTAAAACGAACGATACTTGCTGATCTTGTCTGGTAAATGTTGGACAACCAAAATGACCCACGACTGAAGTGGCTTAAGATTTTTTTAAGACCCCTGAGTTTATCAAATTAAAAAAGGAGGAAAGATGTGACAGTTATAGTTATTATTCTGCTTCTGATTTATTTTCTGTCCTCTATTCTAATTGTCTTTGTAATACTTAACCCTAACCCTTTTTTTTAAATTAAAATGTAAATTACCACCTGCCTATATGTAAAAAGCCTGTTTTGTAAAATTAAAATCTGTTTTCAGACATACTTTGAAACTAACACTGTCTGTAAAATCTCCAGCATAGATTTGACCAAGGACAGCCCAGCCTCCTCACACAAACTGTCCGAGGAAGATGACGGTAAACTGTCGGTGATCTCCTGGAACGTGGACGGACTTGACACAGACAACCTTGCGGAGCGTGCCAGAGGCCTGTGTTCCTTCTTAGTCTTGTGAGCCTGTTTCTTCACTCTTGCATTTTATTGGCATCACTTGATGTTCAAAATATTGGGAGGAGGGCCGATAAGCGTTCTTATATAATCTTTGTTGATATAAAGTCAGCTGCAGAGCCGTATCCCTGGAGATACAAAGTATGACTCAACGATACATAATCAACACAGATAGCCTTTGAAAGGTGAATTTTCTTTTCATGCAGGTACACTCCTGATGTGGTTCTCCTACAGGAGCTCATTCCACCCTATGTCCAGTACTTGAAGAAACGGGCCGTCAGCTACTTGATCATTGAAGGTGCTTTATTTTAAATGGTCAGTGTTGGGTACTTAGAGTTTGAAACAGCAGGATCCATGTCTCAGAAAAGTAGTTCAGGATTCTGTAAAAGTTTCTACATACCCAGCATACACCACACATGTTTTTATACTGGGAAAAAAACATGGGATAACCTACAGACAGACTAGGTTATTTGACCTGCACCTTCTCTGTCCTTGTCCCTGACCAGGTGGTGAAGAGGGTTACTTTACTGGTATGATGCTGAAGAGGTCACGAGTCAAACTGGTGGAGAGCAAGATAGTAACTTACCCCACCACACAGATGATGAGGAATCTGCTTTTAGCTCAAGTTCGTGCACAGACAGTCGTCAAATACTACAAATAACTCAATTCTGTTCACCCCAAATACATTTTTTCTCTCCTTGAAAATCAGGTGGATTTCAAAGGCCAGAAGCTGTGTCTGATGACGTCTCACTTTGAGAGCTGTAAGGGCCACGCACAGGAGCGGATGAAGCAGCTGCGAGTGGTGATGCAGAGGATGAGGGAGGCACCTGACGATGTCACCGTTCTGTTTGGAGGGGACACAAACCTGAGGGACACTGAGGTTAGTAATTTGTCCCTCCAGTCACATGCAGTCACCTTTATTTACTTCTTTAGTAATTCTTGACCTGGCCTTCATCTCAGGTGGCCAAGGTGGGCCTGCCCTCCAGTGTGTGTGATGTGTGGGAGCGACTGGGCAAGCAGGAGCACTGCCGCTACACATGGGACACCAAAGCCAACAACAACAAGACTGTTCCCTATGTCAGTCGTTGCCGTTTTGACCGGGTTTACTTCCGCCCAGCATCAAAGGACGGAGTCCCACGTCTTGCCCCCGACCACATGGCCCTGGTGGGCCTGGAGAAGCTGGACTGTGGACGCTTCATTAGTGATCACTGGGGAATCTACTGCAGCTTCTCTGCTGGTTAGAAATGTATGGATTGCTAAAACATGCGAGTCAATGTCTAGTTAGTTTTGTGTAAAGTGAACCAGCATTGCCTCTGGGATGAGAGCACAGAATCAGTATCTCCTTTAATTTTCTCACCTCTGGTTGCCTGATTTTAAAGCTTGATTTGATTTGTTTTATTATTTGTTGCAGAAAGGACCAATAAATGTAAAAACAAGTTTGCAATGATTTGAGATTAACTTTTTTAGTTGGGTATGAAATTTACAGCCTTTACCCTTGACAGTGCAATCCAACCACATGGTCAGCTTAAAGGGTGCTCAGTGTTTCTACCTCCAGCAAGACTAATGCCCCATCTTTCCATATCAAAGGAAGTGAAAAGAAATCCAGGATCCACCCGTTTATCCAAATCCACTATAAATGTTGTTCTGGAGGGTTTATTCACATCACACGATCTTCATCAACAGTTGCAGCTTGCCCACTAATGTTCTAGTTAAATTCACTTTAGGGACTAGGTTCGCCCTGAAAATGATTATTCATGTGAGTTTTTTTTTAGTTGTAACTACTTGTCAAATTTTCTGTATTTTAAAATACAGTTTGTAGCAGCAGGAAGCTTCAGGTACATTTTAGAAATGATTATGATTGATGTCAACAACTATATTGTATGAACTGGCAGCACTGTTGGTAATTTTGGCATCAACACCACTAGAGGGCAGTACAGAGTTATTTTTATATATATAAATATAAAAAGGCCAAACTACAAAATAAATACAAAACAAAGATAATCCAGAGCTTGATAAATTAAACTTTTTGATTTATATAATTTGTAATATCTGACAAGTACCAGATTTGAAAAAAGACCTATTATTATTATAGAATTATTCGATAGCACCTATAATATATATCCTACATTTTGACAATCTCTGAAGAACTGAGTTCTACATTAACCACATGTAAACGCCACCTCTCGGTTCCTGACATCACTGTCAAGAGTTATCTCCCTGCGACACCCCCTAAGGTCTGAGAGGGTGTTTTCATGTTTGTCTGGCATGTAGACAGTGCAGTGTGTTTGTTTTTTTACCACACAGTTACAGAGTGAAGAAGAGCTGACCTTAGGAGAGGACACAGATGTGACTGTTCCGTGGGATCTGGCGTCATCAGAAAAGGCCCTCCCTCCCTTTCTCCCTCCCTTGTCTGTCTCCCTGGTTTCAGATCAGCAAGGACACATGGAACGAAGCTGCCGCTCTTTAATGAGTTCACCTAAAACCTGCAATATGTCAATCTTAAGAATAAGCATCCCATTCTTTCAAGGTGTCGTGATCATTTGTGGTATCATGTGGATATTTTCTTTTCTCTCTGTGGAGTTCAGGAGACACTAGGCCACCTGACACAGCTTAAAAACATTTCTCTTGATACGTCACGGTTAAAAAAATAGCTTATGCACCTTATCTTTAACTGGGATATTTCTGCTGCTACATATATTAATACCTTACATGCAAAATATGTTTGAACACGATGGATTTTCATGATTACTGTCCCAATTTGAATATATCTGATCACCAGTTTGATTTAAACAAAAACATATTTGTGTCTCTATCTCTAGGTTCTGCTTTCAGAGAGGATGATCACATGCATGGGTCCGTACTGCCTTTTTCTAATGGCCATTAACTGATAATCAACTAATCACATGGACTCACATTGATTATAATTTCTCAGTGGTGAGCAACAAAAATACACCATGCATTAATGTGTGCATCAAATCATCATTAGTAGTGTATTACTTTTGCATTAGAAATGTTTGATGTCATTGATGGACTGTTTGAAAAGTTATTTGACACACAGCAGATATCAGAGTCATTTCACTTCCCAGCCTCATCCAGAGGTGCACCACTATTTTTACTGAGCAGTTTCACTCCACAGCAGCAGGTCAGAGATGGTACAGATGGAGGCGACAGCTGTCTGGGCCAAGAAAGTGGTCATGTGATCAATCCGTCTTGAGCTGGATCCCCGTACCAGAGGCCAATCAACATCCCCCTCCTCCACAAATCCTTAAACATCCGCACCACAAGTTTCCCTCTGGATGGATGCATAGACATTTTTTTAATATATTATTTCCCTCTCAGATGTATTTTCAAGCACCAACAGCCTCTCAGATGTATTTTTGTATCTTTCCTTCCAAAAGCATAGCCCTCAGTGAGAGCTGAGGATTTTATTTGAGGCCTGTCAAAATGAATGTTCTTGGCTGTGCGTGGACGTATCTGTGCGCAGGCGGCGAGGCTGCAAGGCTGCGGGAGGCCCTTTGTCCTTTGAGGCTGGGTTGGATGATGATGGATTGGACACAGATATGACCCCAGCCTGACTGTGTTGTGCAAAGAGCAGCAGAGGAATCTGTGCTGCAGCTCAGCAGACAATGCAATAAAAAGCAAGAGGTGTCTGAGCTGTTACCGTTTGACTGATTAAATTTAAATCAAATGTATTATTATTATTCAGGTTAGGTTGAGGTTAGGGTCAAATTTAGAGTTAGGGTTAGCATTTTTATTTAGGTTAGATTTAGATTAGGGGGTTAGGTTTAGGTAAGGTTTAGGGTTTTATCGGTTGGGTTATATTTTTTCTAAGATTAGGGTTGAGGTTAGGTTAAATTTAAGGTAAGGGTTAGTAAGTAGTAACTAGGGTTAGGGGTTTAGGGTTGTATTTAAGATTCTAATTAGGGTTAGGATTGTAACTAGAGTTAGGGTTGTAATTAGGGTTAGGGTTGTGTTTGGGGTTAGGGCTACAGTTAGGGTTGGGGTTAGGGGAAATGAACCTCTCTCAAAAAGAGACAGGGGATGCACGGTCGTGAGTAATCGTGATTTGTAAAAATGTTGAATAAAACTTTTGTGCCCTTGGACAACGTTTCAACTCTGTTTGGTCTTCCTCAGGTCCACTATGGCACCTTATCCCTTAGGGTTGGGGTTGGGGTTAGGGTTGGGGTTAGGGTTAGGGTTGTGGTTAGAATTTGCAGTTAGGGTTAGGGGGTTAGAGCTAGGGGTTAGGGTTGGGGTTAGGGTTGCAGTTAGAGTTAGGGTTGGGGTTGCTGCCCCTGGTCCCAGGCACACTGACGGGGATGGCCGCGCAATGCACCACAGTCCAGCCCTCATTACCATCTTTAAAGTAGCCCATGTTTCCAGGAGATCAATATAAGTCAATGCAATGTCATCTGAAGTCATGGACTTGGACATGGACATGACTGTGTGTGTCTGTGTGTCTGTGTGTGTGTGTTTGTGTGTGTGATCACAGCACTGCTCTCCAGCAGAATCTAGCCAAACCATGTCAGACACCATCCACACGCACCCCCACCTCCCCCTGCACAGATAGCTTGTCACAGGCAAGGGCAAGGGCAGGCATAAGTGCCGCTCCACTCTATATCACCCCTTCCACATCCATCACGACTTCACTTCAAAATCGTGGCGACAAACTATCCCAGAAGCCAGCGTTATTTCTGGCCGTACAGTGCCGCTGCTGCTCCTGCTGAATATTTGAGGGCTGACAGTTATTTAGAGGTTTGCAAGGTAAGGGAAAAACCTTCTAAGCAAGAATATTTTGTCTTCTCATCACTTTGAAAGGACGAGGGATGAAGCCAGGTATGCTGGGATTTGGGGGTGAGGTTATGATGTGAGGGGAATAGGATTATGAAATGTGTGGCAGCTTAAAGATACTGAAGAGCTGAAACTTAACTTGTGTAGGGAAAATGGAGTTTCCCACAGATGCAATTATGTTTGGCGGCTTTTTCCATCTTAAATAACAAAGATGACCAAAAAAATTGTAAAAGCTAGGAAAAACATGGGTTTAGAGTTAGTTTGGCAACACAGTATTACATAAGGTATCCTACACTGGAGATTTAGTCATCCATGAGGATTGGGGAAGAATGGTCAAAAAGGATGCAGAATGTAATTCTTTAACATTAGAGGAGAGATATTATACTCATATTCATGATTTAAATGTGAGTTATTAAACATCACTTTCTTCATAGTGGCTATCTTTTCAGCTTCTGTCTGAAACATTCCGCTCCTGTCTCTTTAAGCCTTGAAGGCTGAGGGATACTTATTGTCTCACGTCAAATTAACTCCACTTGCATTCCTCTTTAAGAACAGATCTGATAGTAGAAAAGTTAAAGGTGCTAGAACAAAAACAAGAATGTGACCAAACCATTTGTAACAAAGCCTGACAGGTTTTATTTTCTCTCTCATAAATAACACTGAACAAGCATCGTACAGCGATAAATATCAATATTTATACACTGTAAAATTCTCTCTATTACAAAATACAGTATATGTGTAATGCACTTGATACAGATGGGGAAGTATTGCATTTCATAGCACCAAATGGGACCCTTTAAAGTTCATGATCTCATACTGTAGTCCCTTGTAAGAGGACAGGTGTGCAGTTATGTCCCAGACCCAGATTCAGGTCTTGCGTGGGTGCCTATGAAATATACTTCCCTTAGGAATCAGTTGTTGCATAACTAGATCTAAGTTAAATAGAGCCCACCTATAAAGAACCAAAGCCTCTGCTGTAAAACTGCTTGTTTTCCAAAATCTTTTTTCTGGCCGAGAAGCTGAAATATTATGAAGCGTGTCCGCGGCGGCCGATCAAGTTTCACGTTTTTAAATTTTCGAATCAAACACGGTGTAACGTCCACTTCTCTCCCACTTCTGAGAGCAACAGCTGCAAGATTCACACTCTACTTGGAGAGTAGGTACACTGCTGTCAGATGAAAACCTTGTGAATTTATATTTTCCAATTAAGAACTAAAGAAAAACCAATTTCCATTTCTTTAAAAGTGAGGAATAGAGTATATTTCATGAAGCTCTTAGCCATAAAAACATGCTCTCATCCCTCTCTACGGAAACGTTCAATTCAAGTAAGACGCTGGAAAAATGTTCAGGTGCAATTAGCAAGATTTTTCAATTATTAAGTGATCAGCGGGTTCAGGGACTCTCCGAACAAAGTGTTACGAACAGACTGTTCTGTTCTCAGAAGTGTCACCTCCACATCTTTGTCAACGCAGACATGTCTGTCAGAGGCATGAGGAGGTAAAAGGCAGGTTGAACATTGGAACGTAAACTTAGGAATGTTGAAACTCAATCTTACAGAGGAACGTGAACGAATAACGAATCAAATGCAGTTGACAAATATGTCTGGAACTTTGGATCCGAACAGCAACTCCTCAACAATTGGCTGAAGATCTTATCGGTAGGACTTCTATCTGATTTTTTTTTTTTTTTTTGCTCTTGACTTTCAAACATTATTGCTAAATTCAGACAGGAAGGGGCCCTTTCAACCAACATATAGCATGAGAATAACTTGACATCTTTTCAGACTGACAGCATGGAATGTGGGCAAAACTCTGACAAACATGCATAACATAAAAATCCAAAAACAAAAAGAATTTTGAACAGATGTAGTGACATAAAAATGGGTATTATATAGGAGCCCTTAATATTCCTCAATCAGATTTTGACTGGGGAGCAGCATCACAAAAATTCATGTAAAAATAAAAAGTATCATCACATTCATCATTTTAGTGTCTATGTTGTGTTTGATTGTCAGCTTCTGAGACCCATGTTCCATCTCCTGACCAACCAAACCCCTTCCCACTTTAACTTATCTTTATGAAAATAATGTTGTCGTGGACTGTGCATACGAATATGCACAATGAGCTTTGTTGATGTGTTATTAAGAGACAAAACATACGGATTCTTCACAGGTCAGTTCTATCATTACCAACATTATTAAGTAATAAAATAAAGTCATAAGTCACACAGCCTTAGCTCGGGTGGAGCCAGTGTTACAATATCTAATAAACTTTATCAAATTATGGCACATAGAAAATAACAGCCTCTTTATCTCATCATATACTCCTTATGTAAGTAAAACCCCAAAAAACTGCTTTGTCATGCATGACATTTCATCTCTGATTAGTTTGGTTTCAGCACTGTAGTATATGACATTCACACTTCATCACTGATGTATTGCACAGCATTTTCAAAACTATCTTAAGCAAGAACTATGTATTAAATTTAAAAAAGCGAATGTAAAACCAAATCACTCATAAACTTTTACAGGAAAGCTCAGCGTCTCAGTTTCTGTAGCAGAGCAATGTGGCTATGCTGCTGAGGAGCCGCTCGCACTGTGCATTTCGACTTTTCCTGCCAGACCCGTTCCTGAGTTTCCTGCTGTGAATTCTTCTCCCCTCTCCAGCTGCTGCTTCTCAAAACTGCAGAAGTGCTAAAATGATCTGTGGGCAGGGGAGGCCAATTCAGCTGATGTGGTCATAAGCAAGTCAGAGAGGCCTGTAGGACTCACTGCTCCTCGCCCCATAGTCCAAAAATAAGACACTTAAAAATTAACTGGAGTAAATGGCCTAATTTGTACAAAAATATTATTAATGCCCTTATTATTTACATCGTAAATTAACATGGGATGTCAACAAATCCTAAAATGTCCTGAAATTAAATAAGAACAGATGAAGTATGAGATAAAGGTGCATAGGTTGGCATTCTTTTGACACTGAAAACAATTCCTTGGTTCTCTAGAAAGCTCCAGATTGCACATTCATAGCTTTAGCAGGCAGTTAATGCCAACTGTTTTTTTTTTTTACATGACTCACTCGCTCATTCAGCCACTGCTGATTTCTCTTGTCATCCTAATTTTATTGACATCTCCTGTAACAGTAAATGTCAAGAAGTACCTTGATGTAAATAACACAAATTTAAAATAAATTCCCACAATGACATACCTCAAATCTATATTCGTCAACACCTTTTCTTCAAAGGTGCCTGGTCCCAACACTTGTAAAAAAAAAAAAAAAAAATGTACCGACTGAAGACAAACAGTTTAGAGTCATTCTTCACATGGGTGAAGACGTACCATACCACCACCAACGGGTTTTGGGCTGTTTTCCAGAGGGTTCCCTTCGGATCTGTAGTTTTACAGCTCAGTCATAGGAGCTACCACCTCATGTGGTTAATTGACGTCACACCACATTAACGCAGTTTCCACTTCCAGCTGTCGCCCTCTTGCTGCAGTAGGTGAAGCTGCTGTGATTGGTGGAGGACCCGTTCATGTGTGACGACTTCAGCTCCATCTGGCATGCTGCGATGGCTGCGTTGAGCTCTACCTGAGCCCGGTGTACCACGTAGAACGTCAGGCCGATGCTGATGACAATCTGCACAAGACAGAGGAATTCATGTTTCGATCAAAGGGTTTTTTTTCTGGTTTATTCAACTTGTAGTGGTGGTGAACTGACCTGCCTCATATTCTGACGGGTTTCTAATATTTTGCTGTATCATTTAATATCCTTGAGGTATAAGGACAAAAATATTAGAATCACTTATCTTGCTACCAGATTCTCTAAAGCTCAATCATTGAGACCTTGTGTCTTGTTTAAACTGCACATAAACTGAGGAGTAAAATTTTTAATTTACCATAAATAGTGGGTTACGTTCCGGTCTATTTCTCAGCTGCGGGCAGTTGGCAGGCAGCCAGAGGAGACTCTGTGATGTTCATGTTCCACAAAGGCATATTTCCCAAAATGTAAAACTGTGTTTACAGTGACATCATTGTGCTGTTAAAAACTAAGCATGCATCAGACTGATGTTCCCATGATGGAAAATAAAAACAAAGAATCCATATGATTCTTGGTATCTCTAACAGCTTTCCACCAAAAATGTGAAAAAGCCTTCTGTGTTAAAACATGGTTTCAACAAGTTCAATTTAAAACCCTTTAAAGACCATAGTTAATTTAATTTAATACCTATGTCACAAACAACAGATATGAGGTAATAATGGAGTGCCAGAATTACCTATTCCTTATTTATTACTTATTAACTTGTCACATTATCTCACATACCACAGGCAGTGACAGTATCCATCCTTTTTCCCCACAGTCGAGCCAAGTGTGCTGAGATAAATTCTCTCAGGGGTGTGTGTAGTGTTTGTTATCAGTTCCAAGTCACTCTTTTATTATCTGTTTTTTGCAGTGTTATTACAGCATGCTAATATTCATATCATTATAATGGAGACAAAACAAACTATGCCTATGAAAGTCACAGAGAAGCCTCTCTGATCCCTGAGTATTTGTTGGGATTAAATGAAGCTGAGCAGGTGTTTGAGATGTGGTGACAACTTGACCTTTGGAACTAGATAGAAATGTGGGTATAGTTTGCACAAGTTTATAGGGTTTAAAATTCGCACTCTGGCAGTTTACATAACTCAAGATTTAAGGAATAACATTTGCATCTGTTTTTGCAAAGTGGGATACAGTGTGAGAGGACTGGTAGATATGATATTTCAATATTAGGAGGAAAAGAAAATACACTGAACAAACAACACCTTATCTTTTCTGATCTGACATCATAGCAGTTTGACACACTGCTGTTCACATGTTGTTCTTAGAATGTTCAAACAGGTATTACAGCATATTTATACAGCATCGTCACTCTTTCGGGAACAACTCACCTGCAGGGTGAACACAAAGTAACCGCTGAAGCTCTGCTCAGCGATGACGTCCTCCATGGTGCGAAGCGTGGTGCCCAGGTAGGAGTTGAGAAGCTGGGTGGGCAACAGACCCACAGAGGAGGCCACCAGGTAGTTTGGCAAGGACACATCTGTGATCTTGAAACACAAGCAGCGATAAAAAAACAGGTTTAAAATTGAGATTAAATTACATGATTTAAAGATTAAAGTATGTAAGATTTAGATTACATTGATCTATTGGCAGAAATTGAATATGAAATAATCCTAGTGATGTTTTCACGAGTGTTTCATCTAAATTTTACAAATTGTTGTTTTCTTTACCCTAGAATGGGTCCTTTATATTTAAATATTTTATATTGACCTTTCTAGTTTCACTAGATATAGATTTTTATTTGGATCTGCACCAAGTTGCACACACACACAAACTAACAAATATATCAGTCCCCTAAATGTGCAACCGAATTATTCTCTGAGAAATCATTGTAAATGTAGGGGGAAAAAAACACCCTACCTATAGTCCTGGTTCTGCACCAACATTGAATGGGCTCTTTCCTGACCTAAACCACATTCTTCCACAACGTCTCATGGTAATCTGCAAAGTGGTTTTGTGTAATCCGGCTAACTAACAGACAGACAAACGAACACGGACGAAGGCATAACCTCCTCGGCGGAGATAACTACTGCAATGATTCCTGGGTAAATGAGTTCACACAGGATTAATTAAAGAATTAAAGTCATTCTCTTGTCTTCAACTGATGTTGGGCAGCATCTACTTCTTGGTTGCAATATATTTGTAAAACAATCGTTTTAAAACATTTTACTCAATTCACAATGTGTGACTAAATCAGCCATTTTCAGCCAAATTAACCACAAAAAATATGGAGCAGAGATTCTCAGATTCTGGTTTAATTCCTTACATCATGCTATCACACATCCAGCTCAGCATCTCATCTCATATCTCCAAACAGCCACCTAAATTTAAACAAGTGCATACATCGCTGTCACCCTTGATTAACTGATGACATAAGCTGATGCGTGTCTGTGCCTGCTGTGTGAGGATGTGACCTTGGTACTGTGACTACGCTGTGGCTGATACCAGCGTGGCAGAGGCAAAATGTTATCAGGACAAGAAGACATTTATGCTAGACCCAGTCCAAGTGTCTCCTCGCAGTGATAAATCCCAACCTCCACTCCTGTTATCACACAGTGAACTGATAAGACCCTGACTTACACTTCACAGGACACTGACATTATCAAAACCTGGTTAATTGTCTGGTTAATCGTTGGTTATTTGTCCTCTACGAGCATTTTTTATTACCACAATGTGATCATGTAGCCGTCGCTTCTCCTTGAAAGATTAACACTGACATGTCCACACTCTGTGTCAACACAGTCAAAACGCCTTCAGCTAATCTCTTGGCCTGGCATGTGAGCCTGTGAGAACTGCACAAGAAAAAATAAAAAGGAATGCATTCTCTTTCTCTGAGCCATCAACCCTTGAGTTGTGAGGCACATGTCCTCTGATGTCTCTTCCCACTCAGGCATGGAGCAGCTGTGGCAGGGGAAGGCTAGTCATTGGTATTTTTATAACCACGCAAGAGAATTCCCACTGAACGTCCTGCTCGTATCTGAACACAGTATCAAGATAATCTGCAAAAACAAGTGAAAAAACAGCCCATCCTTTGGGTTTGACCTGATTTATTCAGAGCAGTAGCGATGCAGCTCTAAGTTTGTGCTTGTAAACAAAACAGTAAGTAGGGTATCTTGACTACTTAGTAAATCTCAGGCTTGCTTCTGTGATGCCTTTTCCCTTTGTTAACAGGACACAGCAGGTTTTACTCTTCATAATGAAGGTTGATACTTCGCAAATCTGCACAAACAAGTTTGACTGTAATTACAAAGCGATTCATCACATGATAAATTCCCCAACTGCTTCATTAGCTCATTATAATAACAGTAGAGCAATGGAGCCAGGTTAGCGCTGCAGTCATAAAGATCATAATGCTGCAATAAGATAAAATCATCCTTAATTATCCAATTAGAGCTTTTTAAAATACATCTGAATATCTAGACTTCATCCTGGATTCACAAATATTTTTCCTGAGCCATCCCTTTGTTTTGCTAACTGCTGCAGTATCTGTGTCGTTTTAGGTTACATGCTATAATGTAGCATCGACCACTTCAGCAGAGAGAAGTGGGGGGCACAGTGAAATACAGCCTCACCCTGAAAGTGCTTACCAAGGGCAGAGAGAGACAACACATAACTCTACTTTGAGCCAGTACTCGCCCGCGAATAGTTTCACCAATTATTGTGGGGAATTAAGACCATAAAGATACAATATCAGATTGGCAGAATAATTAAACTCCAGGTGAGATGGATTACAAGGTGTGTGTGCCTGAACCCTCTGAGCCAGGAAGTGAAAATGTAGCAGAGGAGGCAGGTAGAGTGAGGGATTTAAATTATTAACCTGCTCCTGGTAGAGTCGGATACACTCTCTGGTGAGGGCACCATTCTAACATTTACCAGTCCAGTCCAGTAAACCATCTTTGGTTTAGTTATAAACTTTGTAGTATAATAAAAAAACACAGCCTTGTTGCAGAGACATGTATCTAAGTATATGACAGTTAATACACTACAAGAAATTAAGGAACAGAACGAACAGGTGTGTAGAAACTGTTTTACCTTTCCACCAT